TTAAACCTTATTTCTGGGTGTGTCTGTGAGGGTATTTCCAGCAGCTACTTGCCTTTGAATTGGTGGACTGAGTAAAGCAGATGGCTCTCCTCAGTGTGGGAGGGCACCAGTCAATTTATTTAGGGCCTGAGTGGCATAAAAAGACAGCGGCAGGTCAGATTTGCTCTCTGGCTGACTGAGCTGGCACATTGATTTTCTCCTGCCCTCAGCACTGCTGGTTCTCAGGTCTTCAGACTTGGAGTATAGCTTATAACAGATGTATATTTTAACTCTTTCCTAACATCTTTTGAAATGACCAAATGACAAAAAAGAGTATATCTATAAAGAAATAATTTGTGTCAGGAAGCCATAAAATCGTTGGAATTATATTCAGGAACAAACTAGAGAACAAGTACCTGTAGACCAGACATTTTCAAGAAAAAGGCTTCGGAAGTCTGAGTTTCTGAGAGGACCTCTTTCATACTCATCCAACATAAAGTATGACTTAACCTGCTACACACCTTGCCACATGCTCAGAGCTGGATATCTGCCTTCACATTGAAGAAAAAGGCCAATCAGGGAACTAGACCTTTAAAATGGTGAAAAAAATGGACATCAGATGCTCACATTACCAGTCTAATCTCTGGGTTATAACAATGGACAAAAGACAGATAATTCACAGGGAATGATCAGTACAATGAAAATATTACAGAGCAATACAAATTTGTAGAAAAGCTACAGACACATGTAATAACATGGATCCTCTAAGGGAAGGAGTAACAGCAGTTGAAGTGTTCCATTCACTCTGTTTCCTGGAGACTGGGGGGATTCCTTGGGGGAACAAAAAGATGGTAGATGATTTTGTTAACTGGATGTCCACAAATGTAAAATAATATTTTAAATATTTGTATATTTTATCCTTTATATGAAACATCTAACTGAACAGCTTCTCCTTGATACTTTCTCCTACTCTATGCCAGAAGCCAATCCTAGTAATAAGAATATAAATAATTTACTTAGGTGTATAATATTTTCAATTGTCATGAAGGAACATAAGGCAAGTTGCCATGCAGCAGACATCCCAGGCTCAGTAATCTCCTTGGGCTCATATCAGGGTTAAAAAAGACTGATGCACTCTGACTGCATTCTAGGAATTTGTGCTGTCAGTTTCATTTTAATTTCACAAATATTTCATAAATACTTATTTAGGCCCTTATGTGAATAAGCCACTGTCTACACACTGCAAAATACAGAAAGAGTAGTAAGACTATATATTGTAATCTACAAGATCCTTTGGGTCAAAAATAAATATTATGCAAGGACAATTTTGGCCTAAAAAGAAAAAAATTGCTAAATATTTCAAATGAGTTAGTAGGAACATTTGAGATAGGTCTTGAAGAAAGAGTGCCATTTCAATTGTAAATGAGGATGGACGCAGTCAGGGGAGGGAAGTTTCTCTGTGGATGGACCTATCTGAGAAAAAGCATGTGCCTGAGAGACTAAAGTATGTCCAGAAGTCTCTCAGTGACTGATTTTGACCACAACACAGATTCCATTAGGACAACTGTAGAGAAGGAGACTCCAGTTAAACCAAGGTTTCATTGGAAAGGAACTCAATGTCAGGGTGAGCAAATGCAATGTTACAAAGATCTAGCTACCATCTATAAACACACACACATATAGTTGGCCCTCTATATCTGTTGGTTCTTCATTTGTGGATTCAAACAATTGTGGATCAAAACTATTCAAGAAAAAATAATTGTGTCTTTACTAAATATGTAGAGACTGTTGGTTTTGGTCACTATTTGCTAAATAATATGGTACAACAGCTATTTATCTAGTGATTTTAAGTAATCTAGATATGATTTAAAGTCCATAGGAGGATTTGCAGAGGTTATATGCAAAATGCTATGCCATTTGATATTAGGGACTTGAGCACCCATAAATTTTGGTATCTGAGGGCAGTGCTAGATCCCCCACAGATCCAGAAGACCCAGGGATACAGAAGGGTGACTGTATATACACACTTATTTATTTAGATTCTATATTTATGTATTTTATGCGTACGTGTATCTACGTCTATATCATAAAATCTGCACATACAAATTAACAATTAAACATGGATAGTTACATGCAGTCGTGCATCGCTTCATGATGGGAATACATTCTGAGAAATTTGTCATTTTGATTACATCCTATAGTGTTCTTGCAAGAAGTAAGTGATTTCATCATTGTGAAAACATCCTAGAGTGTACTTACAAAAAATCTAGATGGTATAGTCCACACACCTAGACTATATGGTGTCACATGTTGCTCTGGGCTACAAACCTGCACATCATCTTACTATACTGAATACGGTAGGAAATTGTAATGCAATGGTTTGTATATCTAAATATATCTACACATAGAAAAGGTAGAGTAAAAAAAGACAGAAAATTTAAAAATTGTACAACTTACCATAAACGGAGCTTGCAGATTGGAAGTAGTTCTGGGTGGGTCAGTGAGTAAGTGATGAGTTAATGTGAAGACCTAGGACATTTCTGTCCACCACTGTGAACTTTACTTTATAAACACTGTACATGTAGGCTACCTTAAATTTAGTTCAAAGTTTTCTCTTTCTTCAAAATTAAATTAACTGAGCTTACTGTAATGTTTTTACCTTATCAACTTTTAAACTTTTTAAAACTTTTTGACTTCTTTGTAATAATACTAAGCTTAAAAGGCAAACGTTGTACAGCTATACAACAATATTTTTCTTTATATTCTATTCTATAAGCTTTTTTCTATTTTTAGAATTTTTATTTAATTTTTTATTTTTAAAAATGTTTTATTAAAAGCTAAGACACAAACACACACATTAGCTTAGGCCTAGTTAGGGTCGAGATCATGAATATCACTGTCTTCCACCTCCACATCTTGTGCCACTGGAAGGTCTTTAGGGGAAATAACATGTACGTAGCTCTCATCTCCTATGACAATGATGCCTTCTTCCGGAATATATCCTGAAGGACCTGCCTGAGACTGTTTTATAGTTAACTCTTTTATATAATTAGAAGGTGTATACTCTGAAATAATTATTAATAGTATAATAAACATATAAACCACTAACACACTTGCTTACTGTCACTATCAAGTATTACAGCTCATATAAATATATGAGCTATACTTTTATATGACTGATAGTGTAGTAGATTTGTATACACCAACATCACCACAAACACATGAGTAATGTGTTGTACTGTGACATAATGATGGCTATGATGTCACTAGGTGATAGGAATTTTTCAGCTCCATTGTAATCTTATGGCACCACCACCCCATATGCAATCAAAATGTCATTATACAGTACACAACTATATTCAGTTCTAGGAACATATACCTTATATGCATGTAATCTGGTAGCAATGACAATCCATTAAAGGTTATTGAAGAGGGATATGATTCAATGAGAGTCTTGTTTATGAAAAATTATCTGGCTGCAGTGCTTGGAAGGTAAGACAGTAAGAGCCAGATGAAAAAGAAAAGAAACTTGAGTTTTGCAAAACACACAGCTGAGTATGTTTTGGGGTGGGGACCTGAGTGGTACCAGCATGAACTCACAGAATTTCAAGTGTGGAGAGAATAAAGGCAAGGATGACCTGAAGATGAATCTCTCATTATATTTAAAGAGCATTGAATTTGAGGAAAGCTATCAAGGACTTTTCAGCAACAGAATATTCAAACCCTTGTTCATTTTCATGTCTTTTCTGTCACCCTCTGTGCAGTATGACATAATACATGATAATTTTATCTGTACTTTTTTTCCTGAAACAGTGTCTTACTCTGTTGCCCAGGCTGGAATGCAGTGGCATGATCATAGCTCACTGCAGCCTCCACCTTCTGGACTCAAGGGATCTTCCTGCCTCAGCCTCCCAAGTTGCTGAGACCACAGGTGCACACAAACATGCCTGGCTAGTTTTTAATGTTTTTTAGAGATGAGGTCTTGCTATGTTGCCCAGGCTGGCCTAGTTGTACTTTTGTAATATAAAGTTCTCATCACTTAGTCCCCACTTGTAAGTGAGAACATGTGTTACTTGTTTTTCTCTTCCTGTGTTAGTTTGCTAAGGATAATGGCCTCCAGCTCCATCCAAGTCCCTGCAAATGCATAAAGTCACTCATTGACAAGGGAACATTACAATAACCTATAAATATCAACGATTTCTTGATCTTACAAGCTTCCTTTTTTTTTTTAATTCAGGGAAAATTACGACCATTCAATTCTTATTCTGCCACTTCTATTTTATTTATTTCTCTGCACTCATCTCAACTTAATTATTTAGTCTCATCCGTTAGCACTCCAAATTAGTAAAGGTTTTCAGATTGCCAACAAACATATAAATACAGTTGGAAAGGTTCTTAGAAGGCATCACAAACACGGAGAGGCAACTGCCTCTCCTCACAGAAGCACACTGAACTAAGAGAATCCTCTCATAGTTTCCTATTTCTGTTCATTTCCGTCTATAATATGTGAATTGAATCTCTACAAGAAAAGAAATTAACCATTTCCCAATAAAGTGGAAAAAAACACTTCATGATGGTTAGCCGAATTCGTGAGATTTGCTTGGGTTCTTGCAAACACAAACTTGTTCTATGGAGGAAGTGTGCTATGAATCTCCAGTTTATAAACCTGTATTAGTAACAAAGACATCATACTCAAGTTGTTATTAGAAGACCTACTATTGTAGCACTTGATCCATTTATAAAGCCACATTGAAGAACAAGAAACATGTAAAATGCTTTTATTTTTTTCTGCTCTAATTATTCTAGTATGTCATGAACAGTTGACAAAATTTTCTTGTGTGCTTTTCAATAATATATACAAATATCTTAAGGAATTTATTAGATACTAATGACTTGAATCATTAAAAAGTTAGGACAATTGTAACTGCAAAAAACTTTAAACATACACGAACATATACTGACATCTAGCCTGCATGATTATGTGACTTTAAATAAAAAGAGAATACATTACAGTATGAGATCTAAACACTTCCTTTTAATGTTTTTGTCAGTGAATCTATGACTTGCTTATTTCTCAGGCTGCAGATCATGGGATTTAAGAAAGGAATGATGACAGTGTAAAATAGAGACTCCACCATATCTTGAACATCTGCTTGTGGAGATGCAGGGCCCACATACATGAAGAGAAGGGGGCCATAGTATAAACAGACAGAGAAGAGATGGGCTCCACAGGTGGAAAAGGCTTTCCTTATGCCTTTGACTGACTTTTTTTTTAAGATTGTAAAGAGGACAAATGCATAAGAGACAAGAACAGTCAAAATAGTGAATACCTGTATTGAACCAGACAAAATAAAAAGCATTAAAAAATTAATAGAAGGGTCAGTACAGGAAATCGTTAACAATGGGATAATGTCACAGTAAAAGTGATGTATTATGTTAGAATTACAGAAGGTTAATCTGAATAAAATGCCTTCATGAATTAAGGCATGAAGGAAGCCACCTACAAATGACAAGACTAATAGCCGGATGCACAGTCCATTGGTCATAATCACTGGATAAAGTAAAGGTTTGCATATGGCTACATAGCGATCATACGCCATTGTTGCCAAGAGAAAACATTCTGTGGTTGCACTGATTACAAAGGAAAAAAATTGTATCTTGCATTCAGAGAGAGAAATCATCATACTCTTAATGAAGAAGCTGATCAGCATCTTAGGGGTCACTGAGGATGATAACCAAGCATCCGCAAAGGCTAAACTCCCAAGGAATAAGTACATTGGAATGTGAAGGTGTGAGTCTTTCCAGATGACAGCAATCAAACCAAGATTTCCCATGACGGTGATGAGATATATTATCAAGAATGCTAGGAACAGGGGTATTTTCCACTCTGATTGATAGGTAAGTCCTGTGAGAAGAAACTTTGTCAGCAATGTTGCATTTTCCTCATCCATGTCCTCATTGGATGTACCCGGAGTGAACTGAAATAAACATAAGAAGAATATTCAATAAGGATTTATAAAGTGAATACTAGAGGAGAGGAGTTAAAATAAAATCATACGCTCATCAGAATGTCCTCTTCGTGTATTTATTACACTGTGCTGGTGAAAACCATAGTAGGGGAATTGAAGAGATGGAAAAATGCAATTATTTGAGTTTATAGAATGTGCATGAATAAACATATTTAAGCAAAAAGAGAGGCATTCTATGGATGTGATTAATTTATGTGGACACTGGAGTATGGTACAAAATTTCTGTGTCTGAGATATGGATACAAGGTCAAGGGAAAAGATCTTTGTAAGGTCAGAAACAAAATGAGTTAAAAGCCATGTGAAGGACTTTGAACTGTATTCTTCAGGAAATAGTCATGAATTTAAAATTTTAAGACAGATAGTGGCATGTAAGACATATTTTAAGTTAAATAATTGGTGTTATAGAAAATAGGCTGCAAGGAAGGGAACCTGCAGTCAGAGATACTAATCAGGAAACTGTTTCTGTTGCAAAGGAATCCCAAGCCAGATTACATATCAGAATTGTCTGGGGGAACTTTCTTACCAAAATACAGAATATGAGGAATTACTATTAAATTCTGTAGTTCAAGAATGAGGTCTAGGAATATGTATTTTTAAGAAAATGCTATTCATGGGATTCAAATGAATGCAAAGTACCTACTTCATGTGTGATAAGGAAGTGATGAGGAAGACAAAGAAATAGATTGAAAAGAATTCAGAATGTAGAGTCAACAGGGCTCCATGACATATTAGATGGGAAGAGGGTAGTCCCTGAAATTAAGAGGAGTCATTTGGTGATTCAAAATGAGATTGAGAACTGAGGTTTGTTGGCAGATATGGGGAAGGAGCATTCTTTGAAATCCAGGTGAGATGTACTTAGAGATGTGACTCTACTAGAACTTAATAAAAATAATGATATGAGAGGCATTGGGGGTGGTTTAAGGCATAGTTATAGATGTCCTATGCATTGGAGAGTATATCAAACATAAAAGAAGAACAGAGAGGCAATACAATTAAAATTATGTTAAACAGGTTATAAAGCGTATCCACTTTACAGGTCATTTATTAGATGGCCAGCCCCTGGTCCTCTTTTCTACCACATTAATCTTGGTGGCCGAGAGAGAATACTACCCATTCTAGAGTTAGAAACTTACTTTTCCATCCTTCTTGCACCTAGAATGAGGCTACTTGACTAGGTTTGGCCAGCCAAACCCACCAACATAGATTTGGAATTTGGAAGGTGGAAAACAAAGGAACAGTGATCAAAGAGAACTTTTGATGCAAAAGCAGCCAAAGCAGCAATATCACGACCCTTACAAAAGCATCCACACACTACAATGGAACTGACAGTGTGAGCTATGGCATTTGAAATTTCAACCATGACAGCGGGAGCTTTTGTTGAGCTAGTGTTGGGACATGATTTGGGCTGTTGACTGGCTGTCTTACTTCATTCGGTTCCTGCCCATTTTTACAGCTCATTCTTCCAACTTTCCTGGCATTTCTCTTTTAGATAGCTTTCCATTCAATAAACTCATTGCCCAACGCAACCAAGAGTCCTGGCTCAAACAAAGAGACGAGGGTGATATCAGAAAAAAATATTGAGCAGAGTGATCAAAGAAGCAGGAGGGAAACTGGAAAGCTGAATATTGTAGACATAAAGAGAGGGAATATACTCAAGAAGGACAAAGTGCAGGGCAAAATGCCAAAGGAAATGCTCTGGTTGGACTAAATATGAATAGAGATCACTGATTGTGGAAATTAGAGATTTTTAGTGGCTTCAGTGAGAGCAGTTTGCATTTGCTGATAGAATTAAAGTTAGAAAAAAATAAGAAGTGAATGGGAAACAAATGGCACAACAGTGAGGTGAATGAACTACAGCACTCCAAGTAATGCAAACAACATTTGCCATTTGCCTACTGTTGTAGAAATGTAAATAAATTAGTCCAACCATTGTTGAAGACATAGTGGTGATTCCTCAAAAACCTAAAGACAGAAATACCATTCGACCTAACAATCCCATTACTGGGTATATACCCAAAGGAATATAAATTATTCTACTATAAAGACACATGCCTATGTATGTTCACTGCAGCACTGTTCACAATATCAAAGACATGGAATCAATGATGGAATCCAGCCCATCAATGATAGACTGGATAAAGAAAATATGATACACATACATAATGGAATACTATGCAGCCATGAAAAAGAAGGAGATCATGTCCTTTGCAGTGACATGGATGGAAATGGAGGCCATAATCCTTAGTAAACTAACACAGGAACCAAAAACCAAATACTGCGTATTCTCACACATAAGTGGGAGCTAATTCATGAAAACACATGGACACATAGAGGGGAACAACACACACTGTGGCCTGTTGGAGGGTGGAAGAATTGGGAGAGGATCTGGAAAAATATAATAACTAATGGGTACTAGGCTTAATACCCGGGCAATGAAATAATCTCTACAACAAACCCAAATGACACATATTTACCTATGTAACAAACCTGCACATGTACCCCTGAACTTAAAAATAGATGTTTTCTGTAAGCCTTTTTATTAAAAGTTTTCAAAAGTAAGGAGAAGAAAGGAAGGCAGGGAGAGGAGGAAAGGAACCAGAGAAGTGGAAAAGAAAATCTGGGTAGTGAAAAGAAAATGAAAGAGAGAAAAGTAGAAAACAAAAAAGGCATATGTGAATGAATGTAGAAAAGACAAGAGAAGCAGAAAAGATACTGGAAAGCTGAGTGTTGGAAAGCCAAATAATAGGAAGAGAGGAAGTATCAGAGAAAGACAGAGGATTGGGGTAAATAGAGGTTTTAACCCTAAAGTTTATTAAAAGATGTGAATTAGATGTGAATTCTAGGAATCTTTACTGTTACTCAAAATTCAAACTTTAGTTTCCTATGGACATTTTTATATGAAAACAAGATACAATTTTAAATTTTACTTACAAACTTTGTGTTATTCATAGATACACTAGCACTGTCTAAAAGTTCTTTCCATATATAAGTTACTTTGTCTTTGTTATTCTAGTGGTTAGAACTGACTTTAGGAATTCTGCTGCCTTTACTTGAGAGCTCTTTCTTCTCCAACAATTTTTTTGTAGCAAGATAATATTGAGCCAAGAGTGCAACCTGAAACAGGCTGTATACATAGCCAACAACAATAATTTCAGATGTATTTTAATTTGGAATTAATTAAATTAAATTGGGATCCATTCATGCAATCTCAATAGAAAAATAATTGAAAATCTCAAATTCTATTTGTGTGTGGATACTTTTTAAGTCATAAATATGGAAAAAACATTGGAGGGACATTTTTCTGCATTTATATGTATTTTCTGCACATATATAAATATAAATACTCAATGAAATTATTTTCAAAAGTGGGTAAAAAGCTAAGTATTTAAGTGACACCTTAAAAGTTTTAATCATAATATGTATTTAATTAAACAATAGATTATTTTATCAGAATCAACAAAATGATATCTTATATAGTGATCATTATAATTGATTCTTGAAACTCAGTTTTAAGTTGTTCTGGTTCACCAAAACTTACCTTATAAAGTCACTATAGTGAGGTTAACCAGCTAATAAAACATCATTGAAGGGAGCAAATCAGTATTACAGCTATTTTGCTTGTTCAGGCTTTATTATTATTTTTATTTTCTAACTACTTGAGAAGTAAGGAACAGACTTTAATTGTAAAAATAATGTATGCAGATAATCCACTAATACTTTCCATATCTGCCTATTGTAACATCTTGTAAACCTAATCTTAAATTATTATCAAACAAATTTTAAACTTTCTACCTAAAGAATAATAAATACTATAGAAAACATTTTACTCTTACCCATATCTTGGAAGAAATTGTGGAGATCCTTTAAAAGTGTTAGGTTTTCTAAAGTAGAAATAAACACAATTATAGCACTAAAATGACAAAAACATAGGTAGCAATCCTGGCACACTGATTCATTTCAGAGGCTTCATTTCCTAAGTTGAAGAAACGTGTATAAATTTTCCTTGAACACCAGAGTCAACTAATTGTACAACTGTGCACTTTTGCCAAAACAGGAAAAAGTGGAGAACCGAAAATTGCCCCAAGAGAGCTTGAGGATCCCCTTAAGGACAAAGTTAGCGGTTCTACTGGGCATTGTAGGATTGGACATGTATGAAAAGTTCAAACTGTTCCACAGGGGATTACAGACTTCAGAATCATAAACATCAAGTTATTGTAGACAGTTCTAGTTTTAAGAATTGAAATTATACTTTATGCCATTATTATTATTATTATTATTATTTTTTACCACAGATGACGCTACTGACATATTTGCACGAACTTTGGTTTACTTACATAATTTGATGGTCTGAGTTCTTTGGTTAGTATGGTCTCATCTGAGTTAATGAAAACATGATTTTAATAAAACCAAAGAGCTAAATTCCTTTCAGAAGCAAACACGAAGTTGTCCTCTTCATGCAAACTGTAGCTCAAATTCCAGACGTATACCTAGCTCCCCAAATTTAATATAAAGTCTGAGGAGAAATTTTTCTAGGCAAAAGTTAGGGGGAGGAGCAAAGAAAATAAAAGGCAAAGGACCTCTGTGGAGCGGGCGTAGATCTGTGCTTCCCAAATTTCAAGGCCTATGAATTTCCTGGAGACATTGTTAAAATGCAGATTCTGTTTCAGTAGTTCTGAGGTGGGGCTCACGAGTCATCCTGTTTAGGCCTGCGCGGTGACTCACGCCTGTAATCCCAGCACTTTGGGAGGCCGAGGCGGAGGGATCATTTGAGGCCGTATGAGACTAGCCTGGCCAACATGGTGAAACTCCAGTCTTTACTAAAAATACCAAAAAAAAAAAAAAAAAAAAAAAAAAAATGCGGGGCACGGTGGCTCAGTCTGTAATTCCAGCACTTTGGGAGGCCAAGGCGGGCGGATCACCTGAGGTCAGGAACTCGAGACAAG